ACTCCTCTACAGTGCATGACTAGAGGATATCCTAAATTAATTTACATGGATATATAAATATATGCATGTGTATATATTTTGTATGAAATATGAAACCGGCGATTTCTTAGCCAACCACTTAATTTGTCTAAACCAGCGCCAGCATAATGGAAACTGCCCACACATTTTTCCATTAAAAGTTACAAAAGGAAGGGAGGGGGGAACTGGTGACAGAAAAACACATGGTCTCTCAGCTGTCACATAAATGCCAGGCAGCCAGGCAGCAACATGTACTCACACCACTTTGCTGGGAAAAGTGTCACCTTTATTCTGGTGCTTAACAGCTGGTCTCCTTTCTGCCCTTGCCTCCCTCCTGGGTGCCGTGAGTATGGCGGGCAGGGATGGGGCCGTGCTGGTGCCTGTGCAGGTGCACGCAGTGAGCATAGAGTCCTGAGTGTGGCCACCTCTGTTTTGCAGGCCTTCTCTCCTGGGTTAACCAGCAAGTGCCTTGCCTCGCCATCGCCCCTTGCGCCATCTCTGAGTGGCGTGTGGGTGACTGCACGGAGCCCCCAGAGTAACACTTACACTCCTGCCCTGCTGGCTGCTGGGAGTGGCACTCGCCAGGTTTCTGTGCAGCGTGTCCAGCCTCAACCTGAGTAATTTTCCCCGAGAATGGACAGACAGAATCACAGAATCATCTAGGTTGGAAAAGACCTTGAAGATCATCCAGTCCAACCATTAACCTAACACTGACAGTTCCCAACTCCACCAGATCCCTCAGTGCTGGGTCAACCCAACTCTTCAACCCCTCCAGGGATGGGGACTCTCCCCCCTGCCCTGGGCAGCCCATTCCAACGCCCAACAACCCCTTCTGCAAATAAATGCTTCCTAAGAGCCAGTCTAACCCTGCCCTCAGCTTGAGGCCATTCCCTCTTGTCCTGTTGCTTGTTCCTTAGTTCAAGAGACTCATCCCCCCTCTCTGCACCCTCCTTTCAGGGAGCTGTAGAGGGCGATGAGGTCTCCCCTCAGCCTCCTCTTCTCCAGACTAAACTCCCTTAGTTCCCTCAGCCGCTCCCCATCAGACCTGTGCTCCAGACCCTGCACCAGCTCCGTTGCCCTTCTCTGGACACACTCGAGTCATTCAATGGCGTTTTTGGAGTGAGGGGACAAAAACTGAATACAGTCATCAAGGGGCAGCCTCACCAGTGCTGAGCAATATCCCTTCCCTGTCCCTACTGGCCACGCTATTGCTGATACAAAACCATGACTCTGAGCCACTAAGTGTGAGCCAGGGCAGTCCACACTGCAGATGGAAGAAGGGAGGGAGGGGAGCTGGGGGACACTGGCAGCTCCGCAGCCTCAGGCAGCTCCTGGGCGGTTGCCATGAGGTACGGGTGCTCCCTCACCGCCTTCCTGCCACCAGTGACTGGGGAGATCACCCCAGGTCAGTGGCTGTGGTGTGAGGGCTTCGGCAGGGGCACCCCCTCGCTACCTGGCTCACAAACACGCTGCCGGGACGCAGCAGATGCCTCAGCAGGGGAAGGCTCCTGTTGCCCCACGCTTGCCTTCAACGCTCCTGGTCCCACGCGACTGAAGGGGTCAGGTGCAGCAGTTATTGGCTGCAACCAACCCTACCATCGTGACGAAAATGCTATATATGGAGAAGGCAGTCCTGTGAACTCACTGGCATTTTTTGGAAAGAATGCGTTGTGTTGACAGCGCTAACCATTTTGCACAGCGGGGGGAAAAATGCAGCTGGTAACTAACGCAGGACTGTGGGGATCCGTGAATGTGTGTATGTTTTTGTTTTTCGCTATATTGTCCTATAACCCATATGCATCACTGCGGGTTATGCTAGTGGGAATTCTGCTGCTCGGCAGCTGTTGGGGCAGTGTGAAGCCAGGCCCACTCATCCTTGTAACCATCAAAGGGACATGCTTCAGCCATTTATGGCTGCCTCAGGCACTGCTCCACGCATCTCGCATCTCTCCCGACAGCAGCGCCAGCTTAAGGAATCCCTGCCAGCTCGACTCTAAAGCCGTGCAGCAACTCTGTACCTCTTGATTGATTGGGGTTAAAAATAACCTGGATGACCTGACCCGTTCCTTTTGCTGCACAAAGACCTGTGCCTGCCCAAGAGAAAGGTAGCACAGAGGGACAGTAGACTGGGATGTGCAAACAAGCTGCTCTGTCTTTGCTGGTGAGAAATAGGTAAAGGGAACTGCTCAGGTATGGAGAGGTTGCTGTAAAGTCTCTATTTTGTTTTCCTGAGCGAAGCAGGCTGGCTACTGGTGGGGCCTCTCTGTGGATTTCTCAGTGCTGAGACCACAAGCCCTGTTTGGTCCTGCTTGTTTCTATTCCCCCTGTACTCTGCACTGGTGAGGCCACACCTTGAGAATTGTGTCCAGTTTGGGGCATCTCAATACAAGAGAGATATGCAGGTGCTGGAGCGAGCGCAGAGGTGGGCAACGAAGCTGGTGAAGGGCCTGGAGAATAAATCCTGTGAGGAGCGACTGAAGGAGCTGGGACTGCTCAGTTTGCGAAGGCGGCTGAGGGGAGACCTCATCACTCTACAGCTACCTGAAAGGACATTGTAGAGAGGTTGGTGCTGGTCAATTCTCACAGGTGATTAGTGACAGAACCAGAGGGAATGGCTTTAAACTGCAACAGGGGAGGTTTGGATTGGACATCAGGAAAAAATTTTTCACGGAAAGAGTGATCAGACAGTGGAACAGGCTGCCCAGGGAGGGGGTGGAGTCACCATCCCTGGGTGTGTTTAAGGGTCGTTTGGATGAGATGTTGGGGGATATGGTGTAGGGGAGAACTTTGTAGAGTAGGGCTGGTGGTTGGACTCGATGATCCCAAGGGTCTTTTCCAACCTGAATGATTCTGTGATTCCTCATATCTTTGGTTTGTTCTTTCAATATGCCTGTTTCATGCTAACTTAGAAATGTAAGAACAGCTTCTTCTAACTACTGACCTGTGCCTAGGAATGTAAGACCACAAGCCCTTCCTTGGGTCTTATTCCAGTATGAAGAGCTCTATATTTAAAAGACTGAGGCAAATTTGGCCATGGTAAACTCTAGCACCTTGATAAGGACTACTACAAGAAGTCATTCCAGGTACAGTTTTAGTCCTTAGAAAGGCAATAAAGAAAAGAAAAAAAGCAGCCTAGCCCTGAACGGGTCATAATTTATTATAAAATAGGACTTTGTTTTTAGTAAAGACCATTGCTTAAGACTGCAGAAGTGCAAATACTCTCTTGATCTGCACTCCAGGACTCATCCTATGAAAAACCTGGTAGGTCTTCATCAGTGGTTGTTAGGTTGAAACTCCTGCAGAGTTTCTAGCCTTGGCAAATTATGAGTGGTAGCACTTGAAACTTTGTGTGCCATTTCATTTATTAGAATAATTTTTTCCTCTCCCCTGACACTTTGTTACATTCAGTATTAATGGTGTAGCAGCTATTCTCAGAAGCCCCATAATTTACTAATCCATAAACTACAGGGATGTGTTCTATATTTCAGGAATTGCAAACACCCTTTCATCGCCCTCCCAGAGAAACCCGAGACTGTTTTTCCCTCTCTACTGCTGAGTGAAGTAAAAAGCAGAGCTTTCTCCCTCATGTTGCAGAAAATACCTGTCTTCCCTATTAAGTGACGGATCCTGGAGCCGCTTATGCCTTTCATCCATCTGCTGTCAATTTAACTGGCTCCACTAGCTAGTGGCTCCTACTTATGACCCTGCAAGAATTTACAGAACCTGTTTTTTATAAAAAATGAAGGGGCGATCACCATGTTTACCCTCTTGCTCAACTAACTGTGTTTTGTTACTACCAGCTAGTGCTAGAACATACCCTTGTCTCTCCCCACCTCCAACTCAGCCCCGCATCTGGGAAGATCCAACAACTTGGCCAAACCTTCTGGCTGCTGAAGTTACCTCAGCAGATGCGTTGCTGTTGTGTCTGTGCTGTAGCTTTGCCTGGACCGCTGTGTTTCTGGGCACACGGAGCGTAAGCAGAGCGCTGCGGCTCTGCAGCCTGTCGCCCTAGGTCTGGCAGATCCAGGGAGCACCAGACCATGTTTGGTCCGAGTGAGTGTCCAGGTCCAGATTGCTTTTTAATCCCTTCATTTGCTCCACATGGGCAGACCAGCACAAGCCTGACGCTTCCCAGACTCGACGGACTTACTGTGCACATGTTAATGCTGGGGGACTGTGCACATGTCTGTCTGGGAAGTCACAATCAACCGGTGCCTGAAAGGCCAACAGAGCTAGAGGAGAGATTTACACTACACACGTTTGTATGCATATAGCAGAAGGAATCACCTTTCATGGCTGTCCTGAATCCTTCAGTAGGTTGGACTGCAGTGTGAGGTCAGCTCTACCGTGGGGTGAGGTTCCACATGTGGGGCACGTGTGTGTATCAGACCATGTAACCCAAAACCAGGCACTTGCTCTAGTGACATTGAGCCTGAGTTTTCCAAATGAAGACACTGACTTGCAGCAAGACGGCCTTTTACAGGATGGAACTGTAAGTATTTATTTACCCATGGTGTAATTTTAATCTTTCATAAGAATGCAGGTATCAGCTGCTTAATTACAGGATAACGTATGTAAACTTGCACTTTATAAAAATTTGGAAGTAAAACCTTTGCCTAACAACAGTCTTATTCTTGGCAATCAAGTTCCATCTACAGAAGCCTTTCATGTTAGAGACATATCCCGCATGTGACTTATTGTTACAATTCAATAAATACTTTACAAAAATAATGCTAGCTTTTTAAAAAAAATTAAGACATTTTAACTCACCAATAGTTCCTCCCACACAGCTTCCTTAAAGAATAGTTTCTTCTGTAGGACACTGTGAACCCAGCATATGATAAATGGGGGAAAAGGGATGATTGCATGCATTATCTCAGGGAACTTAGGAGTGTGTATCCCACCTTTCCTGTTCTTTAAAAAAATAAACTTCTTCCATTTCCTAAAGAAACAAGCAGATCTAAATGCTCTTCAAAGGAAAACTGGGAAGTAACTGTGATTTTTGGGTTGGTTTTTTTGTTTTTTTTTTTTTTCCTTTGGCCTGGTTTCCTTCTTTGGCCTCACTCCTCCACAGATGTAGGACATGCTTAGTTTCCAGGTAGCTGCCCTGAAGACCTGCTCCCCAGCACGAGATGTAAGCCCTGACAGCTGTAGCTCCGTACCTGAGACATCTCCAGGAGTGGGCTGTTGTAACTCTTGCAGAACCACTGTATTGGGACTTTTCCTGCTCTGCAGGAAAACCACAGCTACATCTCTCTGCAAGCCTACCCCAGATGGACTGCAAAGACCTGAGCTAGAAGGTAACAGGAAGAATTCCACGAAAAATTTGCTAGTAACTGTCTATATTCACTTTTGAGTATTACCCTTCAAAAAAAAAAAAATCTTCCTTTTTTAGATATGACTAGTCATGAAACCAATTATAGAGAAAACTGATGCTGTAGGTGCATTAATCTTGTAAACCATTCCCATATGGAAAAGTACATTCTTCAATCCTATTGTTTATAACAACTTTTAAATACGTGTCCTCCTCAGCTGGGGCCCTGGGGCCTGATGGTGATGGCAGCCGCCCCTGCCCCACTGCACACTTACGTTACAGTTGGGGAATAAACTGAAATGCACATTATTAAATGAACATTATTGCAGTATAACATCCTAGCAGGACAAGTTTTATGTATGTCTGTATGTAAAAATAGGTGTGTGTGAGATAGAGAGATATGTGTTTATAAATTACACACACTATGAAAAATACTTACGTATTATATTACAACTATATACATTCATTAGAGAGAAACTGATCAACCCCTGTCAATGCATCAATGCACATGACAATGCTCATTGACATGAGACAATGCAGCAGCCGTTATCAGTTCTTTGGCATCCAGGAAACGAATGCTATTTTGTGTCCAAAGAGGAAGAAAATCTTCTCAGTATTCCCTTGCTTCTTGAAATTGCTTGTAGTAGTCTTCGTCTGAAGGGTTTTCTGTACACTTCTGCCCATTGTTTGGAGGCCGTGCTTCATTGTATCGGCTCCAGTCACCTTTGCATATAATCCAAGGCAGAATGTCCACTTTGTAATGGAGTTCTGCTGAGAATTCGATGCTGATCAGGTTTGGTGTACCTGCCCCTTTCCCTCTGGTAATCAACTGCATGTTATCATCATAGCAGCAGTGCTGCGCTGCAAGTGTTGTGCTTTCCAAGGAGAGCATGGAGCGGATGCAGTACCGTGCGGTGGGCTTATAGATCTCCAGTTTTTCCTTTGGACCACTTGCATCTTTCCAGCGAAAGTTTTTCCTCTTAATTCGATCGTAGATTTCAGCAGTGCTGTATGCAACCTCTCTGGGGTAGGAGCACGGGCAGCTGGGAAGATCATTGACCACTTTGTGCATATATTTCTTCAAGAACTCGCTTTTGCAGCTCATCCATCTTTCACAGCTATCAGTATCTGTTTAAGGGCAGGAAATGGAAACTTAAGATACTTTATGCAGCATCCCTGTTCGTATGATCAGTGATAACAACCCAGTAAAGCGTAACTGTTCAGCACCAGTGCTCTGCTTGAGAAAGAAAGGGCAGCCAAAGCTCGCCTTCCTGCCTGCCATGTGCTAACATGCTGCCTTGTCAGATAAAGAAATCACACGTGTGAGTGGCTTCAGGGCCTCTGACAGTGCTTCTCTGAGTTACGGGGCAGCACCAGCCAGTAAGAACCTCTGCCGCTTCTTATACCTGGCAAATTCTAATCAAGGTGCCGATATCCCCATGCAGCACAAGAGACACTGTCGTGGGTTTATAGGCGACAGAGCTGGAACAGGGAAACCGCAGTGATTTGATGTCAGTCTCCAGTTTGAAAACCTCGTTCAGACACCTACCCTGTAAGAACAGCAGATTCAGATGCTGAAGGATTATGTTTCTCATGACACTAGAAACACCAAGATGGCAAGCAAGGCCCGGATTCCTTTTTCGGTTCTTTTAACTAACAAATACTTTTTTCTCTTTGGTCTCCATCTTCCGGAAGGGGTATTTCAAGCAGCTGTAGTTCAAACATGGAGACTGACAGCTGGCAAATGCAGCCAAAAGTGATTCAGATTCATAAAGGGCATATGTGACATAATACCAGTGTCTGTACCATAGAAGGACTTAATGGCACCAGAGCCATGACTTATAGCTGGGATTAAAGCGATTTATAAACTAGTAGCATTTTTAATACTGGCACGTTATTATTTTGCAAGAGTCTCAGGAGAATCCAGTTAAACGTCTCCTATCTAAAACATTATTTTAGGCATCTGTACATCTACAGGCTTTCAAAAAAAACCCCTGCACATCTTGCTCCACACTTACTTAACAGGACTCTGGAGCAAGGCAAAGACTGGGACCTAAAACCCTTACAGCAAACATTCTTGCAAAATATTTACTTAGTGATCTGTGTCCTGTTTTTCTATCTCCTTAAAGAGTCCTATCCCGGCTGTCATTAACTATTGTGATCTGTCACCATAGGAGGGAGGTGCTGGATTACATTATTTATCCAATTAGTCCAACATCCAGTGCCTGAGAGTGGCCACACTGTGCTTTACTGAAGGGATGAAATCAGAACATTACAGAGGTTGGGCTGGGTTTTGGCCAGTCCCTGTGTGCAGCACACACAGTTATAAAAGCTATGCATGCTCACACAGTTATAAAAGCTATGCATGCTCATTTTTTTTTTTTTTTTTTTTTTTAATGTGGCAGCTGTACCTAAAACACTTTTATAGCATCTTCCATTCAAGACTATTTCAGCAAAACGCTAAACAGTGTTTGATTTTCCCCCCTCCATTAGTGTGGAGCCTTACAGTCCTTTTCTGAACTAGAATCACCTTTTTGTAATGAAAGAAGGATAGAAATTTGCTCTGACTTCAGAGGAGAAAGATTCTACGACAGATGCAAGCTAAGGTTCAGATCGTAAATTTAAGCAAGATAATGAATGGCCATTATTACTGACGTTTCTAATGGTAAACTCAAAATCTTGGTCCCGCAGCGAGACTCTAAACAGGAAAATCTGAGGAAATCTTTATCACTGAAAGATTGGCTAGGCTGCTTACCAACTTCAAACAGTTTGGTAGCATTGAAGTCTTCACTTCCTGCAAGTAAACTCACTTCTGTGGCAGCTGTCCGGAAGGTATCTTCAATCCCTAAAACAAACAGGTGTTAGTGGCGGTGGTGTTTTCCTACTAAAACACAATGCAGTCAACTGCCTCCGGACCATCCCCTCCTTCCCCAGTTCTTCCTGGTGCTTTTGTTTGGCAGGGAACTCATCTGAAGGTGCTGCTGGGGAGGGGGTGGTGGTGGTCATTTAAAGGTATAACAACTAAGGAATCTGTGGTGTTAGGGAAGATAAAGTGTTAGCTTAGCCGAAAGGTCAAAAGTTTTAAAGTTTTAGAGTTAGATTATATTTAAGCAGCAGATTGGCCAGTTATGAACCCAGTGCAGGACGAGCAGTGAGGGAATCAATTTTGTTCCTCTTCCTAATGCAAGGCTTTCCAGCATCTCCCAGTAATTTGGGCAGGAGCTGTATGTGACCAGCATCTCCTCCAGAGCACGTATCACAAGGGACTGACAAGATAAAACCAAATGTCCCAAGGGAAGCTCTAAAGCCCTGGGTAAAACGCGATGTCTAAAGGAGACAGCCTCTGTGCCACTTTCTAAAACAGAGCGAATGCCTGAAGACGGGTGAGCAAGTTCATATCTGTATAAGGGCAACTGTTTCTCAGGATGTACGAGGAGGAATGATGCTATTAGAATGATGCCAAGAAGACTGGAGCTTGTTAGTCTTTCCCAGTGCTAGGGGGTTGGAAGGTATAAGTAGGTGAGAGAACTAACCTCACCAATCACCCCTACCTACAACAATCAAATAACATTTCAGGATCTTAAAATATCAGGATCTTCCAACAACCTCCAGTTAAGCATTTGCTATCAGTAGAGAGAAACACGATAGCCAGAAAAGTTATCGATTGATCTTGCTAAAGTAAAGATCCTTTTGCTGCTGCTTTAGTTTGGCCTACCTACCAGTCTACTGTTTCCCTCAGGTTTCTGTACCATTTAGCCTGTTTTAAACATCTCTTCAAAGAATCATTGGAACGGGTTTGGGGTTTTTTGCCTCCCCATTGAATTAAAGACCTCCAAAGAGGGCAGAAAGCTTTTTAATATGCAATAACTATATGGTTAATAATGGAGTCTGTCCACCATCCATCTTCTTGCCAGTGAGCTTTCTCCTGATCGCCTGAACTGGGGCATAATAGTGGCTTGCAAAGCTTCAAAACAGCCTCAGGCCACTTTTCAATAAAATTATCATAGGGTTGTGCCTTAACTCCAGCAGTAGATGCAGAATAATAGATACCCAAGAACCCATTACAAGGCAGTAATTCACTGCTGGAATTATAAACAGCAGAAGCTGAGCTTTGCCCTTGTAATTTTAAAAATGTCAGCACAGCCTCAGAGAGTGAATATATTTTGTTGGCTGGTCGCTGGGGGTCTGTTATATGACATAATATATTCTTTCAAGTTTGCCACTGTTTGATGCTAGCTGGTAATAAATACTGGAGACTGTAACTGGGGGCTACACGCCTCCTTCTGGAATTAACCCCTTATTATTGAGAGTTTAGGAGGTATGACAGCATCCAGAAACATTGTTCTGAGCTGCCTAGCAGCCATTACCTTGCAATGGATGCATGCATCGCTCTGTGAGTAAGAAGCTTCCCTCCAACTCTCTCACCAAAGCTGCTATGTCTTCTCTCCAGCACTACTGACATTTCACTTCCCACCAAAATACAACCTGACCTCCAGTTTAAGAATTTCTGCCTTTCTGAATCATTAAGTAAACTCAGTGAAACGCATACCACCACAGCATGTGTTTTTACTTTGATTTGGGGAAGTAATGCAGTTGCACATATCCCATGCGTTGTGGCAGCTACTGCATCACTGCCTTACAAACTTGCCTAAATCCAAATGCACAGCAGCATTTAAAGGACATCATGGGAAAATTTTCCATAGCAGGTTTAAATTTTAAATTTTACATTTTTACAATGTAGGTTTTAGTGCTCAGCCCTGCTTTCACCAAAGCAAAAACTGCATGATGGTGAGGACACCTCTGTTAATGGCATTTAAGTGTCAGTGCCTGTAGAGGGGCAGGAGCTAAGGTAAGGCTCCTTGGCCATATTTTTTGAATACATTCAATCCAAAATTATATGTTCCTTCATCCCATTGTGTGCAGCTGTTGCAGGAACAAACCTGCTGTTTTACAATTCTCCAGTTATCAAGCAACATGTAATGAAACAGAGGTGACATTTCCACCTTAACATTAACTGTCTAGGACAGGACATTTTGTAGCTTAATGCCCAACGAAACCAGTATCTCTGGAACAAAACGCTAAGCAGCTATTTAAAGTATTTTTTTTTCATATTAACACACATGCAGTCTTAAAACAACTCTGTATACATTAGGCACAAACTTAAAAGCCAGATAATGGGGGAGGAACTATTTGTTCACAACACAGGCATGCCCATTCACTGCACAGCAAAATAGGAGCTCACTGAGGCAGCAGTCAGCACAGCTGTTCTGAAATTCTGAAAAATACAAATTTGTTTCAAAAGAGTAGATTATACCCTTTGGAATACAAAAACTACTGTTGACAAAAATGACAGCCATAACCTAAAAAAATGCTGTACATGTCTTTTAAGTTCCAGGAGATAGTAGACTGCATCTAGCAGCATATTATTACTAGCCAAGAACCTGCCATTTCATAAAAAAACCAGTGAGTCTCTTCCCACCACAACTCCCACCTAGCCAGGGAACAGCTCTCTGCACCCTCCTTTCAGGCAGCTGTAGTGGGTGATGAGGTCTCCCCTCAGCCTCCTCTTCTCCAGACTAAACCCCCCCAGTTCCCTCAGCCGCTCCCCATCATTCCTGTGCTCCAGTGACATGGTCACACCTGGGCAGTTGGGCCTGTCACAGGTCCGGGACTCGGTGGCGGTGCAGGCATATCCGCAGGACCTCGTCCGCTTCTGATTGCCACTCCCACAGGTGACGCTACAAAGGGACCACGGGCTCCAGTCTCCCTCGCCATCAATATAATCTGTGTAAAAACAAAGATGAGGAAGGAAATGAAGAAACAAAACGCCTACTACCCAAAACTACTGTGTCGTGTTTTTTATTAAGAAGGCAAAACAAGAATGGAATCCAGATGTCTCTACCTGAAGCTTGGGCTAAATGCCAGGCATAAGCCTGCTGTTTAAATGGTTTTCACACTTGATGCTCCTTGGGGAAATGCACGCAACATTATTTGAAAAAATATTTCCTTTCTCTTTTGACCTTTTGGCAGCTGAGAATCCTCAGCTGCAAGGCTGGGTCATGAACTAACAGTACACATCTATTTGCATAATTTTCCTGCATATAGGAATATCTTTTCTGACCACAGACTAATCAGGCACAGGATAAATGAGGTTTTCTTTTTCTTCTTTCCAAAACACACATCAATAGCACAACAATACTCAATTAATTTTTAGGGCACAATGAATGTTGGACTATGGGAGTCTGAGCATCATGTGTGAAAATTGTTTTTCAGTGCCCTGAACAGGAAAAAGGTATTAAAGGAATACTGCCAGGAATATAGGGACCCACATAGGCACCTTGCGCCCAGAACAACATGCAATTTAGCATTTAATCTGAATTCTTAAATAGCATCAAATCTGACTGTTTACTAGCAAGAACCTTCTGAAAATGAAACATGATTATATTGTCTTCTGGTAGATATCCAAGGGCAAACGATACCAAGCCTGCGCCACTGTGGCTCAGTGCCACTGCCCGTATCTAACCCCCTCAGAACCAGCCTCCTTTGTATGCTGAGTTATTCGCTGCTCATCCCGCCTTAGGAAGGCCACCTAATGGAGTCTGTGACCAACCCCAGTCCTCTTACCTTCCCACCAGTCTCCCCAGCTGAGTGTTGGCTCTCGCTAGAGAATGTCAATCACAGAATCATCTGGGTTGGAAAAGATCTTGAAGATCACCTAGTCCAATTATTACCCTAATATTGACATTTCTCAACTCCCCCATATTCCTGAGCGCTATGTCAGCCCATTCCAACGCCCAACAACCCCTTCTGCAAAGAAATGATTCCTAAGAGCCAGTCTAACCCTGCCCTGGTGCAGCTTGAGGCCATTCCCTCTTGTCCTGTCACTTGTTCCTTGGTTCAAGAGACTCACCCCCAGCTCTCTGCACCCTCCTTTCAGGTAGCTGTAGAGGGCGATGAGGTCTCCCCTCAGCCTCCTCTTCTCCAGACTAAACCCCCCAGTTCCCCCAGCCGCTCCCCATCAGACCTGTGCTCCAGACCCTGCACCAGCTCCGTTGCCCTTCTCTGGACACGCTCGAGTCATTCAATGTCCTTTTTGTAGTGAGGGGCCCAAAACTGAACACAGGAATCGAGGTGCAGCCTCACCAGTGCCAAGTACAGGGGTAAGATCCCTTCCCTGTCCCTGCTGGCCACGCTATTGCTGACACAAGCCAGGATGCCACTGGCCTAATGTCTGGCTTAATGGATTTTTCTGCAACCTACAGGAGATATTTAACTGACCCTGTGGTCATAACCTGCAGCCTTTGCTCATTTGGGTTAAACTGGGGTGGGTAGCAACACAAAATGGGGTTTAGTGACTGAGCCAGCCCTGCTCTATAGTATAGGCTGAACGCGTATGTACAGGCAAGACACAGGGACAGATCCCTGCCTGCACTGGCCTCTGTGCTACACACGATTCCCGCTCCCCCCCTGCTCCCTCCGTGCTGTCTGTGGGCTTCCTGAGCTGGTTAGTAGAACACGTAACTTGATTTGTACCATATGTAATGACTGACGACAACTCTGTGGGGTGCTATTAAACATTTATTGCCAGGAGTATGGGAAGGTTATATATCTCACTTGTAGCAAGCTGCCTAGATGCAAGTTCCTCGTGGCAAGGACCTTATGTGCTTTTCTTCCTTTTCGTACACTGCTGCCTATCAGGAAGCCACCACGCTTGAACTGGGTGTCCATGGTGTGATGTGGCTGGTGTCTGTGTGCAAAGACCCATGACTCTGGGGTTTGCCAACAGGCGGGCACTACAGCAGTCTGAAGAGGCATAAAACATCTCAGGAAAATGTGATCTGCCCACTCTCCCTGGCACTGCACTCCTTCCCAGCTCTTTTCCAACTCTGATTTTCTTTCTCCGCATGGCTGGCGAGGAAGAGGGAGGGTGAGCAGGTGCAATGCTTGTCAAAGACTGCAGCCTGGGAGGGCCAAGAAGGGCAGGCAGAGCTGTGTGGTACTTTTTGGCAGAGGCAGGACGAAGGAGATAGAGCTGTGAATGGGTCAATGAGCAGAACTGGCAGAAAAGCCCCATATGGGCAGGACCTGCTGCTACATCCTCTTCGCCAAGGCCAATGGCACAGGACATTTTAGGTTAGTCAGGAGGCCAGGAATCTTTTCCAACTAGTAGGGTGCTCTGGTGTAAGGCACAGAGCTCTAGGATAATTTTTAGGCCCGCCTACCTAGTGTTTATACTGCACCATGAAACACACAGTATCTACTATTAAATACATCACATCAAATTTTCAGCTGAAGTTCAGCCTGTTCTTCCTATTTTTATATTTGTAATTCTTATTCTTTTTTTTTTTTCACCACAATTATTTGTGAAAGCAATTTTATTTTACCTAAATGAATTAGTACGTAATTTATGAATTCTTGGCCATGAAGTGTGCCCACAAATAAATGCAGGTGCAAAAAGAAGGGATAGACTTTAATCTTCTGGCCACAAAAAGTAATGTATATGTATGTGTTTAAATACACCACTCCACGAAAAGTCTGTCTCAACTGTTAAGCCTCTAGGACTTAACCAAAATGGGAAAAGTAAGACTGAATCAGTTGCATGCCAGCCACTCTACAGTATCTAGAGAATGCAACAGAAGTGCCAGGGTAAAATTACTGTGGCTCTGAAACCCTGCTCTAACTAAAACCCTTCTGTATTTACATACAACTTAAATCTGAGAGGCTCTGAGCTATCTGTGAGCACATATTAGTTGACCCCCCATCAATTCATTCCCTCGTGGATAGTTGCAGCCCATCCGGGCAGTGAATAACTGTAGCTCCTCTCTGTTTCTAGTTTCTGCAACTGTTTCATACAACAAGCTGAAAACAATTGTTTTCGCCATGACACATCTGGAAGAGAATTACACACGCAAATACACAATGTTCCTGCTGCATATGCCACTCCCCAAACATGCACCAAGATCATTCATCTTACTTGTGTATCCACCAAATACTACCACGTTTTAGACCTTGCTTTATTTATCCGATCATTATATTTTGGTTCCCAAACCACCGCACGATTCTAAATTTGTACTTATCCTGATTCTAAAAATAAATGTGAAACCTTGTTTCCTTTGTTTTTAAAAAAAGTACACTTAGGACTAAAAAAAGGTCCTCTTATGGGATAACTGGTATGATTTTCAAGATTATAGACTTACTAGTGGAATGCAGCTACCACAGTACAGCTTGTGCATCTGAACAGATTTGTATTTAAAAGCTGATGAACAAAAGCCACATGTTGAAAAATTCTATTTTGCTTGGCCTACTTTCAGCGATGCCTCACTATTCTCATTTCCCCCAAACTCGTTTTTACAATCCCAAGATGCCCATAAGAGGCCTGGAACGCAAACTTACCATACTCTGGCTGCTCCTTGGACTCAAATGTCCGGTGACTGGGTGCATGACTATCCCACCCACCGAGAGGGTTTAGGAAGTTGCTGTCCTCAGTAGTGCTGTCATACTTGTAGTCCTGGTCACCGCTGCTCATGCGAGTCAAGGTGGAGGACCTCTGCCACCAGTTCCTCCAGTCAGGTGATGGGACTGGCCAGCTAGGCTTGCTGCTCTCTTTCTGCAGCTCCTTGTCTGTCTCAGTGTCGGGGCCATCCACCACTTCAATGGTAACCTGGGGGATGCAAAACAGACCAGCCTGCCTGTCAGTATCTCCTTCTGGTCAGTGGGAAACTTTCTATATGGCAAAGACAAATGACTGGTGTTGCCCTGCAAAGGGCTGTGTAATGCTGTAGGGTTCGCATGTAGTAAACCATATGTGGATTACTGAGCCCAGAGATATGCAGCGGCTGAGTGATTCCTTCTGCTACCTCTGCTGAATCAGACCTTGGAACAAAGGCTAGGAAAATTCCTGTACAAAATAACAACCCATGCTGTGCCTAAAACCTTTGCAGCAGAATTGTCTGCCTGATGCGGGAAAGATGTTTAAACCCAAAGGTATACGACCAAGAACAAGAAAACCAAATCCGTTACTCTGATTATGCTGAGGATGAATTTGAGGCAAACATGAATCACACCAGCAGGCACAGCCCCTTCCAAGGACTTGGACTGACTCAAGACAGGGCTAAGGAAGCTCATGAGTGCGAAGGTAGAAGACGCGGAGCCTGGGGTCTCTGCTGGGCTTGCGTTTGCCTGGCCCTCCAGCAGCAGCTGAGCCCAGCCCCTCGCACAGCCTCCTCGCAGCACTACGTTTCCATCACACAGCGGCGTGGGCTGTCACCGCTCCGTGAAACGACACTCTGCAGTGATGAGAGCCAGCAGCTCTTTCAACTGCGACCGAGTAGGTCACTTGCTGCTGAGCCCTCTGAAGTAGGCTCTTTTTCTGTGCTGGAGAGTGCAATGATATACAACCTCTTTACAGCTTCTACAGAAGCCCAGAGCCAAGACTCAAAGTTTGCTGCTCAATTCCCTCACATCCCTCCCTCATACATGTAAATACAATTCTGCATAGGAAGAATCCTTGATTGCTTCTCTTCTGTGATGAACAATGTGTAATTATGAAACTCCTGGATAAATGCTGTGCGTGTATACAGGTGCCTATGTAGGTAGAAATAGGAAATAGCCATCAGAACCCTTGGCTCTGTGAGTCACACAAGTGTAGCATGGCCACAGATAAATCATAAAATGCTCTGATGCTTCATGCAAATGTGGTTCAGGGATTATGCGAGACTGGGTAAACAGCCGTGATACAGAAGTGACTATCAGATGTACCTGTGATGTCTTATAGGTACGGAGGTATTCTTCGTGTTTTATAGATTTACAAAGCAGTCTTTCAAGACAGTACTCCATGAAAACTGCATAAAACCAGAATAATGTACTATTATGCTAAAAGTCATTTACATGGCTCTATGGATTTGCATTATGGATAAAAAGTTTTGTTTCCTGCAGCTGTTATTAGTAAAATCACAAGACACAGAAGAGAATGAAAGAGTGTCCGTGTTTCTTCAGCTACCTGTGATTCACAGAGGAGTGTGACAGAAGGAGCAAACCAGAACTGCTGCCACAGCTTCGTAGTTGCAGACACAGCTGCCCAGACCAGACAATGCCCACACATCCTTTTTCGGAGAAAGGAGATTTTGCATCTATTTCATGCTTTACATTTGACCATAGACCAAACCATTGAAATGAAACAACTTTGAGGCTGCTAAGAAGCTCCACTGGGAGAAAGAGCAAGAGTGAGGGAGGGTGCAGTTGTCAGCCTAATAACATCTTTACACCGGAGATATTTTACTCCCAGACTAAATATGGAATTGGAATGATTACTTCATTAAACCTCAGTTTCTACAGACCAAGAATTAAAATGGATTTCTTAAGTTTGAAAACAACAGGGTTGGTTCAGGGATTCAAAACTGTCACATCTATCCAAGCAAAACAGTTTTCACAATAAGTGAAAGGAAATAGTGTTACTGAGCGGCTAACTCTGCGCATGGCTGGCCAGTCGTGGCGCTTTAGTACTGCCCATGTGAAAATTAGCATGATTCTAGGACTTTAGTAGCAAGTACTTTTAAGACCACATTAACTCTGGTAAGCAATGCCTCAGCAAAGTGAAAAAAAACCCAAACCCAAAGCAACACCCCCCCTAAAAAAAAAAAAAAAAAAAAAAAAAAAAAAAAAAAAAAAAAAAAAAAAAAAAAGCAGGGGGCACTTGAGCACTTGATAAACATTCCATTTGCTTTGGTAAGCTGTAGTGAAGCAGCATGAACTTGCATTATTTCAGCCAGGTACAGTTTGAAGAACCATAGGGATTTGATTTAAAGTATTTATTCAGGATGCCAAGTCCGTTTAAGCAAAAGTGGGTTCGTAGTGACAGAGAAACTTCTGTCGAGCTATGTGCTACACCAGGGAAGAGAGGCAAGTGTAACGCACAAACATCCAGGGTTGTAAGACCTCTTCCGCCCTCCAACAGCATTGCCAACTAACTTACTTTCAAGCCAGGTCTGTGCAATCAGATATCCTTCCTCAGTCTTTCTTTTGCTACAAAAGAGGCTTATTACAAAGGCTTTTAAAATGAGTTTTCCAACACACAGTCAATTTAAAAAAACGAACACAACAAAAAGAAAATCCAGTGTGGTAGTCTGACACACGCCTATATTCTTCTCTGCTGTTTTAAGCTTTGATTACCAAGTTGTTTGTTTAATTTGTGGCACAAAAACCATAGAGTGAAAGGAATTCTACAAAGAATCCCGGGATTGTCTGAACTACCGCTCTTGAAAATTAAAAAAAGGCAGCTTTGGTTGACCCTAGTACTGTTTGTTTTGGGGGACTGAGATATGCTCTGCCCAGCCCCGTTTAACCCTAATGGGCCTTCCAGAGGCAGGAGGAAATCAGCGAGTAATCCTTGCAATACCCTCATGGTATGACCCCAAAATTAGGGTGGAGGTGTGTGAAGAGGCTGCTGCATTGGGCGAGCAATTATCACAGTCTAAAATTTAAAAAAAATCAGCATTGCCTGAATTCTTCCCAGTACTTACATCTAGACTTAACATCAGTACATGACTATACATATACAGGATACACAAATATGTATCTTGTTTGATCAGCTTCTATACTGGGGATTGTTTATAAAAAGGAAAAAAGAAATCAGATCTAGAACTAGAGTCATTAAAAATGGGCATTTAAAGCCCTTCTGGAAAAGCTTTTGTGCTGTATAACTACTCCAACAAAAACACGTTCTCTCTCTCTCAAAAAAAAAAGACCTAGTTTAGTATTTCTATCTTGGAGACTGTTTTAAAGACTTCATTTTCACTGAATTCTTCTTCCAGTGATTATCAAAACTGTAAAGGTTATTTTTTTTTTTTTTCCCCTCAAACTTCCCAAAATGCCTGTGGTAATATGGTTCTTGTATAAATCCACAATCATCTCCACAAGTATTCAAACCTAAAATGAAGCCGCTTCTTTTATGGTTGCGTGAGCTATAAATAAGGATGTTCCTCTAAAAATCGTTAGACAACTGGCATAGGTACATTAAAACAACAAATTTGTAGTCGATTTCCAATGAAACAAATGTATCAAGCACAGATGTCTTGGGACGCCAAGATCCAATTTTCCCCTGGCCAAAAATATACAGAAGATAAATATTATCCCTGCCTGTTGGGAGTGCACAAAAAGTTCTGTGTACTTCATCCTGTTTACTGAGACAAAGTTGCGGAATTCACTTCAATGGTGTAAACATTGCCCTAAGCAACTGGAAGATTATGTTTCAGGAAGAGCTGCATTTGCAATATTGTGCAAGCAGTGGAGCCTATGACATTTCTCTCCTCTGCTTCCCTCATGCAACTGATGCAAATTTGCGATGCAGCACTTGCCATTCCATAAACATGGATATGTGCAAGTCAGCAATGAGGTAACCATTGCAGCAGAACAGAAATGAGTTCATTATAAGACACTGAAATAGGAAATTTAGGATTACACCACATAACAACTTCAGTTGAAATGGTATCAGTAGCGACACCAATTTACCTCTGGTTATGTCATGACAGTTCACTTCAGTTTTCTGGACTTGATGAAAAGTGAAGGACCCTCAAAATTTGCTGGCGGCAAAGAAGACAATGTGACTTGAAACCTGAAATTTGTGTTTAATGACGTCAACCTTACCTGCACTCTCTGATGAGCCCAACTGAACCCCAGAATCAAAAATCTGGTCTGAAACCCAGCTATGAATTCCGCACTCGGCGGTGAGTTCTTGTTACGCCGTGACATTACGAAATCTGCACAGAGGTAGTAACAGCCCTGGTATTGAAATGGTTTAACCAGGGCCCTCTGGCAGCCTGCTCTGCATGGACTAGTCTCTCCAGTTTGCTAGAAGGACTAGTTAGTTCCTGGCAAGGCTGTGCTGTGCTTCCAGGGCTGCAGCTAGGGACAACTGCTTTACTACTACCTTAAACTATTAAGTCTTAAAGGCATTACAAGAAATAAGCACTACTGCAGCCCTCCAGTTCTTACTGTGCTAGATTAGGCATGAGCTCAGTCTTACAGATACTGTTGAGTCTTTTGTGACAATACCAAGAGGGTGTTGCTTTCCAGTGCAGTGAAACCAGCAGCTTCAAGTGACAAATAGAAATGCTACCTAAAAATACATCTAATAAAATGTGTTAAAAGTGACACATGATACAGATAGAGCGGAGGGAAATGGCCGTGAATGAGCCCAGAGAAGAGCTGGTTTAAGTCTGCAGTTCTTTTTTAAAAGCAGATCATACAGCCTTGTTTCTCTGTAGCTGTGTGTGTTCCTAGAGTGGTTCTGTGTAGATTTTTTTTAAGAGTAGGTAAAAACTGAATAGATATCAGAGAATAAATAAAGCTAACACAGCAGCACTGGAGTGGCGTGACTGGTGGATGTGGCTCACCAAGCAGGCACCATTAACTCCTTCTGGCTTAAAACCACTCCTAGCAGCTATGACCAATCCTGCCACTCAAAGCGAGGATAATAATCACAACAGATTGAATCATATACTGATTTACTTCGGTTTTCCAGGGCACACTAACACGTTTTTAGGACAGGAATCCTACCCAACTCTGCACAGTTTCTATTTGGAACCTGTCACCTCATCTGAAATGTTTAGCACTTCCATCGCAACTGGAACTCAACCAGCTGTATTTCAGGTACACTGGTTGGTGAAGCTTGATCAAGATTCAAGTTCTCAGAAGAGCATTAATATCAACAAAATGCTCTTGTCCGACAAAGAGTAGGGAGGTTTCCCTTTTCTGCTCATGGTGTCGAGCACTGCCAGGAAAGCAGCAAAGCAGTGGGACAACAGAGAGCAGCGCACTACCTGTTACACTACATAAGTACTCCTGGGAAACCAGGAGTAAAAAGAAAAGGGGAGGGACAAGAGCAAGAGCTCAATTGCAAGTTGAAGCATCTGGCTCCGTACAGAGGATCAGCTGCAGAGAAGAGCCGAGAGGTTGTAAAAGGCCAGTTGGAACGGATGAGAAAAACCCATCAGAAATGGAAAATAAGCAGGCTCCTATATACCTCCCATGCGACTGCATTCTGTTACTCAGGGGTAAGAACAATTCTGTTTTATTCTGAATCATAACCCTGCTCAATTACAAGGTCTGCACAGGCGTCCCTCAGCTAGTTCATCAAACGAGTGCAAACCTACCCAAAAGGGATTTTCCACTTGTGAAAGGAAATCCAGAGAAAATGCATCATCAGTTTTTGTAATCACCTTCTCATTCAGAAGTCTTCCAGGCATTGATGGAATTGTTAAAATGACAAAACCAAAGAGAACAAAGTACCCCAAACCAAACAGTCAGCCTTCACTCAACGGCAGCTACTGCAGTTACTCTCAACCAACCAGTGTGGAAGCAATGCTAAGGGTAAAATGCCACTTGACATGATGGGAGATTTTACAAGGCTGAAACACCACAGAAGGACCAGTAAGTGTCCTCCTGGTCTTGCATGCAGAAAGTCAAATTGCATTTCAATTACTGCAGCTCTGACTGTTGCTTCCAAGGTTTTTCTAGAAGACAGTCCACTATACTTATATTTGATTATCACCTGATAAATACAGCAGTACCTGGGGAGATGTTAATTTTCTGAATTCCTCTGATGGTGTTCTGACATCCATCGCCTCCTCCCCAGATGAGCACACGACACATGATGCAGCAGTTGCCGCCTCACAGGAAACCCGAGAAGAAATGGCCATAAAAAGAACGGACTGGAGTATCTTTTTGAACTGCCTTTTCAGGCTGGGTTTTATGCCTGGTTATTAGGTTTTTAAAATTTCCAGGTATGATTTCCCTTATTTTTGGTCCATACAGGTTTGTACTAACAGAAGGGAAAAGAAATTGTGGGTCTTTGAGAAGCAAATGTGGCCATTGTGCTAGATCAAGACACAGAGGCTTTCTTCCCCTTTCCAACCTCGCTGCCCTAGGAGGACTTTTGAATTAACGCCCCCACGTTTGTCACCTACAGAGCCTGGAGCCATTGTGCAAAAAATAAAAACAATATGATTCTGCTCTCACCTGCCAAACAGCTGATGAGAAATTTGCAATTCAACAAGTGCCATGATTTCCATTCAGATTCGTACCGTACTGTTTAACAAGCAAGAAGTCACTATAACCCTGTTTTTCCCAAAAGAGTAGGCCACCTTTTACAACCTTTAGGCAAAGAAATAAACTTTCATTGACTCTTTAATGAATTAATGGGGGTTTTATCTCCATGAGGCCTGACCTGCTGCAGGACTGTCAACCAGGAACTTAAAGAAGCCTTGTATCTCCCTATCTATGCACCTAGGTAAGCAGAGTAAATAAAATGCAGACGTTAGAGAGCCTGTTTCTGAAAGAGCTGATCCTTCTGCACAAGAGCCCTGGCATTATGTTGCCCAATGTTTTCCAGTTTACAGGACCAGTATTCCCAGTTCTCAGAGTCCAGCAAAACTGCTGACATAGTTGGCGGACACATTTCCAAGATCAGACGGTGGAAAAAGAGGTCACAGCAGAAGCAGTTACTATAAAGACAAGCCAGGGAAATGTTTCCATCTCATTTATCTGTTCCCTGGGTCTAATCATTAAATGCTATTACCAATCATAGAATTTTTTTGTTTCCTTCTGTCCTCCTCTGCAGTTTACATACTGTTCAAACAATAACGTGACGCTATTTACCTCATGCCACAATCTGGGGCCCCTGTAGCTTCCCTACCTTCCTTTCCTAAGGCTTTCTGGAAGGCTTCTCCTAGCGTGAGGGATGTGTACAGTCACCACATGTGGAACACGTTTACTACCTTGGCCCATCAAGTATTGGACCCGCACTTGATCCAAATCTGTTGGGCTTCGCAAGCCATCTATGACGTAATGGGGTGTCAGCTTGGAGACAGCTTGTTCTCGCCCGATCATGTTGGTCTCTCACCAACAGATCTATTATATCTTTACATACGTACTTCTTAGACATATGAAAAGGATGGCAATTTTGTGGGCTGGGGGACTATAAGAAGCCAGGAATTAATTTAACCAGAAAACCAGTTCTATTAGTGTATTGTTTTTATAAGCACATCTTAGGCAGAACAGCATTTCAATTTATTGTTTTGGTTAAAAAAGACTGCTTATTAATGCCAATTTCGCTTTAAGGCTCTGAATTAAAAACAAATCACTCATTTTTTCCTCTTTCTAATCCTTGAAGTTTCAAGATGCAAGTGGCTTATAAGAGGCCATTCCAAACCCAAGAACAGTTTGACGAATAACATATAACAAAGTTTCTTGCAGGCAACTTTTTTTTTTACTCCAAGCAGCTGCTGCAGAAATTAACTGTAAGTCTCAATTCCATACAGAAGACCACATTTTGAGCTGAAGCTTAAAGACTTGTTCTCTTATAACCTTCAGGGATGGCTGCATTTTATAATAGCATACCAAAAGAGAAACTGTTCACAAACAAATTTTGCAACAGAGAACTGAAAACAGAACTTGAAATATCTACTTAATATCCACAAAGATAGTATGTTCCAAAATGGCAATAGCAAAGATGGCTTTGGTATCATAAATATGAATAACTACACTTATGCAATCAAAAGAAAAGTTCAGAAAAAAATTGAAATCTGTGCATTCACTTAAGACAAAAAGTATATTACATATTATATATATTTATATATATTATATATTTTAGATCTATAATATTACATTACACTATATTACATCATATTCATTCTCTCTTGGTGCTACGTTCTGACTGCGTGTCATGGAAGCCAGGCTGAAAGTCATCTTGGTTCAGTAAAATAATTTTGTGCAGCTCAGAAAAAGATCACACGTTAATGTAAATTTGTACCTGAATGTTGGGATTCTGCCCATTGATATCTGCTTTTGACAGGTCAGGGAAGTTTGGGAGATCCAGCAGAAAAGATCTGGGTCCATCTCTTTGCAAAGACGTGTGCCCGTTTTCCTGCCTGAATCGCTGCTTAGGGAAGGGCCGGTGGGCAGCCTGGAGATCAGGGTATTCTCTTCTGTCCTCGGGGTTCAGGGTGAAGCTGTCTTCAGGTGAATGGTCATCTGCAGTCAGTGTGTTCTGGGGAAAAAAGCAACGCACTGTAACAACAACTGAGAGAGGGTGCAGTCCTGCCAGCACCCCCATCTTCAGCTCCCTGCCACTGGTGGCCACCGAGCGCGTACGGAAAGTCCTACACAGACCCACGGCTCAGTACTGAAACACTCAGGATTTATGACTGGTATTTTCGAGGGTGCTCATGTGTTCAGCATCACTGGAACATCCTTGTAACCATCTGACACGAGACAAAAACTGAGTCAGACTCGGGTGCTCAGCTCTTCCAGGTTCCTGTAACATTCCAGCCCCACGGTAAGCACCTACACATTGACACAAGTGTCCAGCTTAAAGCAAATCCAGAAACATGAAGCTCTGAAGCAATTTAAATGTGCCCCTAAAATGGCCAAAGGTAGCTTTATTATACACAAGTTTAGTTTGCTTTGTTCCAAAGTAGAGCAAAAACACTGACTGCTAAGGGCATGTTGAAATTCATGGTATTAGAAGATCCTACCACTGAACTGGCAACCTTTCCCTCCCTTCACTCAGTTTGAAACAGCTTCATCTCATCGCCTGTGTTCCTCACCCAGTTCCTCTGGTCTTGAACATCTGAACCTTCCTTCCTCTGGGATCTCATTTTCATGTTTGCCTAATGGTGGGATTGAATTTCACCAAGTTGTGGGTCAGCGGTTAATGCTTTTGTTATTGTTGAGCGTACTTTCGGGTTTTGTAGTATATTACAGCAGGCTGCCTTCGAACCAGTAGCACTGCTGCCACTGCCTTTGACCTCACTGAGGAGATACATTCAGTATCAAAACACTCGCTCCCTGGGTTAGGACTGGCCTGGGGACCCAGGGAAAAAAAAAAACCCAACCAAACAAAAAAAACAGCAGAGAAGTCAAATCTTCTTATGGCTACAAAAAAAAAAAAAAAAAAAAAAAAAAAAAAAAAAAAAAAAAAAAAAAAAAAAAAATGCATGGGGCAGATTCAGCACAGGTTTTGCTTTTGACTCAGCTGAAAAAATTTTAGGCTTGAGGTCTTAGTATGACTGCCTGGGGAGCTTTTATTTTCAGTTCATAAAGAGACAGCAAGCACGGAGAGGGTAAATGTTAAAGACCTATCTTTTAAAACAAGCGCAATTAAAGTGGAATGGCCACATGTGGTTCTGGCTCTACTGAAGCATATTTTTGCCAGCATTTCTGGTTAAACGCAATCTCCATCCAGCTCCCCTGGCTCAAATTAAGCTAGCATACCTTTTGTTAGGCTCTTAGATTGATAACAGTTCCATTGCCTTCTCTTTTATTTTGTGTTTATTTCTTAGAAGGTCCTCAATTGACATTTGAAAAGATTTTACACTATAATCTGTGCACATTATAGGAAAATATTCAGTGAGTTAAATAAACCAAGATTTAAGAGTTAGTCTGGGACTGACATCATCTCAAGCAAAAACTAAGGTGATTCTCCTCTCCCATTCTTGCTGCACTGCATCTGTAAAGAGCAAAACCAGATTCAGCAGAATTACCGTCTTGGTATTTTCATAATCAGAATGGTTACACCTTGAAAGTGCCAAAACGGTACTTTTTTACATCCATCTACAGCACAGATGCACAAAGTTCATTCTGAATTTGTGTATGTGTGCAGGTCTAAAAATCTATGTGCTCCTGACAGACAAGGCTAAACCAAGAATGCTCCTCTCTGTTGAAGACCAGGCAGGACTTTCAGATGCCTTTGGTGGGCCACCCATTAACACACCCCTTATTAGATATAACATAGAAAGCAAAACACACAGCAGCAAGCTCTAGGGAAAAAAAATCGAGGGCCACTTAGCTAACTTTAGGTTCCTTACCCATATGCTAGTGTCTTAACAATTTAACTGCAAACTTCTTGGTGCATGAGGATTCTCAGTTCGGTCTGACTAACAACAAGGTGTAATTGTGCTGTTATTAAATTACTTCAGACAGGAACCAAAAAAAAAAAAGTGGTACTTTACTTTTTTCTGGGGTATCATGCCCATAATCTTACCTTTATTAAAAATAAAGCGATATTTTATTAAAAAATAATAAAATTCTCACACACATTTTCATACTTTCCGTATCTGCTTGCCACTTCAGGAACATCTTGATTCTCCACGTTAACATACCATGCAGCTAGAGCTGGCCAAGGACTTTAGAGACCTACATTTAATTCTGTGATAAGACTTGCTGTGTGATCTTGGCAGGTCATGATCTGTCTGTGCCTCGGTGGGGATAACGGCACTTCCCTTCCTCACTGTGATGTTTGCGGGGAGCTCAGCAACTACAATAATAAGGGCTATATAAAAAGTTTTTAATAGTGTCAGACAGATGGAATATCACATGGAGTTAGTTAGAAAATTGTCATGGTGAAGTAATGACATCAGGCTGATCGGGCCCACTACCAAGCTGCTTGGGGCAGGGACTGTCATTAATTACAGACTGAATGAGTTGGGGTTGTTTAACGTTACAAAGAACAACGGAGGGAGACACAAAAACCACCCTATACCAAAGGCTGCTGCAGCGACAAGGTGGATGGGCCACTCTGCTTGCATGGGGTGGACACGATCAGAAGACCCCGTGGGGTTCAACATGAGCTGCACATTTCTAACAACAGTGAGAGCCAAGCTCGAGCTCAGACTTTGTGGGGGGATGTGGAGTTTGTCTTTAACCTGTCCTGGCAGGAACGGCACATGTTAAAGAGTGTCCCCTCTGCCTATGTTAGCTCTGGCAGTCGCTCTAAGGCTAGGACAAGCCCACGCTAAGCCTCCTTGGGCCTTCTGTGCCAGACCATGAGGTAAGCAAATGGAAATGCTCAATATGCACCATCATTTCAGTCATCTGCTCATAGTACCATGAGAAAAATGCCATTTGTTTCCAGTTACTAAAACTAATACAATGCCTATTTTTTAGGTAGGTAATTCTTGGTGTAGTGTCTAAGCTGATTTGCAGTATTATTAGAAATGTGTATTTATGGTAAAAGATAAAAGAGGCTGCCATAAATAAAAAGTGAGCTTGAATTGCACGTGGAGAGAATAACATGGGCTCACTCTGTTCTTTCTACTGCATTAACTCAGGCAAAGGCTCTTCCAAGGCCAATCCAGCAGGGAAACGCGTGTCCTTCCTGCAACACCAGCATCCCTTCTGAAGAAAACGGGGTTTGTGTTCCAAAGCTAATAGATGAAATTTTTTTTTTTTTTAATGGGGAGGGATACTTTTCTTATTTCTATGTTATTTCAAATGTTTATACTTCACACTATTTAATTTTAGGTGTACACAATTTGTATTTCCGTGTTGCTTGCCTTCCTTTAAAAGCCATGTCACTTCATTCTGAACTACTGACTCAGTTTCTTTGAAGTTATGACATTTCTAATTCAGACACATTGGTTCCTCACTCAAATGATGCATCTGCTTTAAATATTTCAAGATAAATTGCTTTTTTCCCTTCATTTAACAGGATTATTCACAACTTTTAAACTTTCCCTTAAGATGAGTTTAAGGGGTTGCTCATGCTTGCTGTCAGCTACAGTTCTGCTGCCTCATGGGATCAGATATTTATAGAAGCTCCTAATACAAAAACAGCTTAGGATTTCTGAGTGTGGACAGTATATAAGGGCAGGAACACATTACTCATAACTGTGTGACAAGGCAACAAAATAAAACTGAGAGAGAGAATCTGCCATGCTGGTTGTATTACAGAATAACACACCTTGCCACACCCATCACTGAAAAAGGGAGGGTGACGTGTCCATCTATAAACCGGGGAAGAAGAGCAATTCACAGAGATTTTTGTGAGGATAACATTAAATGTTGGTGATCTAGGCGGGCCTTGCACCATGGCAGGGTTTAAGGCACCAAGAAACAACCCTGCATGCAGGAAGAATTTCTTGCCTGATACTGCAGTTTAACTTTGCAGTAATCAAATGGGTATTTTAACTCCCTTCATTGCCTTCCTATTTTGTTTCCCCCTCTTGTCACGTTAGACGTTAGCTGCAGGGAAGTGAACTATTTCTCTTTCCCGCAGAGAAGTTAAGCAGAAATGGGAACTTGTAAAAATACCAAACTAGGGAAAAAGGGAATTTCTCTGCATTTTTACCAAGCGAGGAATCAATCTCCCTCCTCTCTTCCTTATTTTAACCCCATTAGTTTCCAATTCTGGAAAAAACAACCAAGACAGAGAATAAGTGAAGAATGATGGGAGCTCCAGAATATTTTCTGGAGCAGCTGCTTTCTCGGTCCTTCATACTTCTTACCTTCCTTCAGTCCCTCCCCACTTGCCAAACTTAAGGGCACATTTGCAAGCATTGCTAATGATGGAGTTGAAAGAATTTGGGAAAACTGATGCAGCTTATCCCTAACAGTTCCCAGACAGCAAGGGAATCTATTACTAAATCCCTGCTGCAGCTACATTGCTTTTTTATTTCTTGTATACTCCTTTGAAATATCTTGTAAAATGATCTTGACAAGAGGTCTTGAATTGAAAACCGACAGTCTGTCAGTGCACTTTCATGATGCACCTGTACAGCATCTTCAACCACCAGGAACAAGGAACGTTTATTTATTAGGAAACTTCACAGACGCTATAAAAGATTATATTGCTATCAGAGACAAAATGAGGCCTGGGGCCTTCACAGAAAACCATTACAGCCATTAGGACTGGTTTCATTTCCCACCTGCCTAAACAGATTGTTTTGATTTTGAAGGCTGTCGTGTGTTTCCAGGTTAGTGCTAAATGATCACTTTAAAATTAACCAGTCTGGGGAGGCTGAGTAACACACCGGGATACTACATGAGACTTTCACCTCTGCAGATCCAAGATCTCTAAGGAACCTGGGTGATCTAATTCCTGTGTATTTGTTTGGTTTTGTGTTTTTTTTGTTTTTTTTTTTTTTTGGTCTAGCATGAGTATAAGCAGCACAGGTCCTAGCAGGAAGAAGTATGAGGACAGTGTTAGATAAGCAGACAGTGAAGTTAACAGCTGAAAAGCATTATCAGAGATACACGGAGACAAATTTCTTTTATGATTAATGCCACATACAGTCCAGGCAGTCAGAAGACATTTGTTCTGTTCTTAGCTCTGTCCTGGCTTTCTCATTTAACAGGCAAATCACTTGGGTTCTTATTTTATTTCTGTGTGACCAGCTGAAAGCACCTGGTGCTACTGAGCCTCACAGCTCTGGTTCCCTCCAAGGAGTCACCAGTGGTTT